GATGAGTATCTGTAATCCCTGTCGTCAAGTAACCAAAACCTATTGATCTCATTTGTATTGGTCATATTCCGGATGAACAATTTACGGAAAGCCTGCCTACCCGAACTGTATTATTCAAGTGACCAAGACCAACACATTTTCTTATATATATAAAAGGCTTTTAAAGTATTAGGATTAGTCAAAATCAATGATTGAAGACTTATGCAATGTGGTTTAGTTGACATTGGTTCGTTGAGAGAAGTCAAGTGGCCGCATCCTATGGCTTAACTCGGTTGACCACAAAAGCTTTTACATTCTCCAACCAGCCATATAAGGATTGCCACGTGGCTATATTAACCAAATCTTACTAACACCCTATCCAATCCCCCAATGCTCACCAACTCTAACCATTGTGACAGATAAGATAATAATTAATACCGTGTACACTTTGTTTATCAATTCTTATGCACTATATGTGTTTTCAAAAAGAGAAAAAAGAAAGACAAAGCAAACTCGCAGATAAATTAAAGATTCAGTTACTTAGATGTATTTCGTAAAACTAATAATTAGTACTGTTACAATATTGAAATTGGAAAGTTATAATTATGTCTTTTTTATAAACGTAAATGTTGTTGCCATTTACGTATATTGGACTTTTGGTCCATCCTAATGTAGATCCGAACGGGCTCACGTTTTCGTCTAAGGCCCGTTAGTATCAAGTACTCGTAGTTAATAAACACGTGTATACAAAGAAATGACCTATACAAATAATACTGTATCCCCCTTTTAAGGCCCAAGTCTGTAATTCAGCCCAGTAACAAAATAGTGGGAATAGAACTACATAACTAGGACCAAACCAGATCATTGCACTAACCGGCCAAAACCACGAAATTAAGTCAAACCAGAATAAAATTCGGCTGTACCAACCAATCGATTTACTTTGTCGACAACAAGATAGTGATTGCGACGCATTCATTTAGTCTTGAGAGATTATCTTCTAGGGTTTTTAGGGTTTGGGGAAGTACGTATATGCTTGGCCACCACATGATTATCATATTTATCTTATATGTTGAAGATCTAGTGTGGACTACAAAATATATATAGCTTAGAAAATCCGGTTTAAAAATAAAGGAAAAGTATATATGTGATAATGATGTAAAGATTAGATGATAATATCGAAGAGAGAAGAAAGAGAGCTCACATCACACATATCAATATATATGTCACAAGACAGATGATACGGTGGTGAGGATCAGAGAGGCAAATGGTCCCTTTTGGGAAATTTTTATATTATATAGAAGAAACCAAAATAAGAGACAAGTCATGAAAAGTACCAAAATCTTGGACATAACATAATCCCAATCGTACTGACATTCACATAGCTAAATATATGTGTCTTGTTCCTCTCAAAGTGTCACTTGGTGAGCATTTGTGATCCCTATGCGGCATACGTATCCCATCTCTCTATCGTTTATTTTCTTTTTTCTCTCATGCCAATTCTGTTTTTTTCCTAAACACATATCTATCTATCTGATTCTTTAATTTGCTTCATTTATTGTGTCTCAGATTCTGTTCTTTGTGTAAGTTTTTAAGTTTTTTTTCTCTTGCCCTTAGCTATGTTTCAATGGGTACAACTAGTTAGGGCTTATAGTAGTTGATGGACACCCTTTGAAACGGACCGCAAGTTCAATATATTTTATACGTTACTTTTACATATCTTTAGCGTTAGTCCTACAATCTGAGAAGCTTTTTGTTACTCCGGTTTCAAATTTTAGTTTCTGTTCAATTATGAGAATATGTAAGAAATTAAAGGCATCCACACTCGCATGATCCCTTTGGTTTGAGCTTCTTTAGGTCTACTTTAAGTAACAAATCGTTTTCTAGATAATTTTTTTTAACCATTGAGTTTACCCAAAGGTACAAAAATATCGAATTGAACATGTGGTGGGGCAACGATACTAGCTGCGATAATTGGATGTATGTGATAAAGCAAGTTGTAGCTAGCTAAGGAACTTTCAAAGGTGATATAGATCCTTGCTTTTTATTTTCTTTTTCTTTTTGTTTGTTTTTGATCCCGTGTTCTGATTTTCAGTTTTTTTTTTTTTTTATGTCCCTGCTTCTAAAATTTGTAGTTAATCCTGTTTCATACATTGTATAACAACAAGAAATAAATAGGTATTTCAAACAAAATTGAAATTGGTTGTGCAACTCATCATTTCTATTAAACCCGCAATCTCTAAAGTGTTTCTTCTTCTTTTAATTTGGATCAAATCTTTGTCACCTTCACCAAACTTTACTCAAATCTTGATGATCATTACGCAAACTTTTATTTAATTATGAGATTTAGAATTAATTAGTATAGTTACAAAGGTATATTTTGCGGTGGATCCTTTACGTTATATCAGTGGTTCGACATTAAAAAGCAAACATGAAAACTACATTACTTTTAAGAACATGTAGTAGATAGCTAGCTAGGCTCATGAAGTTGAAAAAAATATAAGTAATGAGATACAAAGTAGTACTATATAGTTATATATGGGAGAGGGGGGGGGTCCTGAGTGACCTGTAAATTTTGATCAGAAGGAATTGAATGGTTTTGGCCAATACTAAGGTGGGGATGTTTTCTTCCTTTGCCATTCTAAACCTCTCTCTCTCTCTCTCTCTCTCTCTCTCTCTCTCTCT